TCGGGCCCCTCCTCCCCTGCCCTGCATAGGCGCACGCTCCCCTCTGCTTACGCCACGATGTGAAATACTGTGAAATAAAGCTGACAGCAGCAGGCTCTGTGCGGATCAACAGCACCGCTGACGCTGAAACAACTGGCAAGGTTGCGTAGGGAGCATCCCCATTCGCCAATGCGCTTTTCTTTTTTTTTTTTTTTTTTTTTTTTTTTTTTTTTTTTTTGTCTGCGTGAACAAAATTATCTTCTGCTCACCAATCTTTGAGAAAGCCCCCTCAAATAGCAAATCACACCTCCAAGAGGTGATTAGGTGTGAAACACTTCGTTGCAAAAAAACGATTGTCAGTCAACACCTGACTTCTAATGACGAATAATTTCTTCCCCAATAATCATACATAAATGCTTTGATGGGTGAGGGGAGAACATCAGCAACTTCAGGGTCGTTGCCGTCATCTTTGCTCCCACTTAACTGCTCTTCAGACAGTCTTGACGAAAGAGAATCTTGTTTCCTTGTGTGTATCGTTTAAATTTAATTGGCGTTTCCCCCATGTGACACGGTAAAATTAAACGATACAATGTAATTTCGTGCAACGAGATCAAGAAAGACACGATTTAAATGTATTTGTGTACTTTATGCACAGTGAACTTCTCACTCCATATATAGGTACGTGGTTAGACACAAAACTGATCATTTTTATATTTTTTAATATCCATGTATATGGGTATATAAATTGATAACGTATGTAAAAAAGCTATTATAGCGTCTGATCTGTGAACTGCAGATTTTAAAAAGGGATCTGGATTGCACTACAACGAGAGGGAGGAGGAAGAGGAGTAGAAATGGAAGGTTTGCCCCCATTTCTCTCGCCGGGGACGCAGCAGTACGTGTTTCTCACATGTCGGCTCTAATTGCCAGAAGAAAGTTCTGCCGCGCCCCGGCTCAGCTTTGGTGCTCAGCCCCCATATGAGTCACAGGGACACGCAATGCCACCGCCGCGGGAGTGACAGCCAGCCAGCGCCCCGGTGTCCCTTTAAAATCCCAAACCAAGGGCAATGATTTATCAAGCTCTTATTATCAAGAAAATGTCACGCGAAGGGCACCTTGCTATGCACTGACGCAAACCCGGTCTTTCCCAAGGAAGTATAGAAAGCTTTGCTGTGAACTGGGCGAAATCCAGTCTGACAATTGCCTGTACTGCTCCTTTCGCCTCCACCGGCTCCCTCTGTGGCTATTTAAGACATGGTAAGTGTTGGATTTCTTCCCTGCGATGCCGGCGGGGCTGGAGGTGCTCAGGGAGAGCTGCCCGCGGTGCTGCCAGCGCGGCCGGGGCAGGGATGGCGCGGGGAAAGCGCTGGTACCCCAAAAACCATCACTGAGTGACCGAGTCCCTCGGACTCCGTCCCTGCTGCCGGGAGAGCGGGACTACGACGGAGAGAAAACTTGTGGAAGGGTGACGGGGAGGCTTGTGAGACACTCTGGGAAAAAAAAAAGAAAGGGGGTTTTGTAAAGCTAACATCAGAAAAGGCAGGGTTCGCCTGTGCATTGCTTAATGGATAAAATCAAGATGCATTTCAAGTGCTAGTTTTAAACTGGATAAAAAGATAAAGGTGAGAGTGGGAGTGTCGTCAGTAATCTATTTAATGATAGGGAAGCTTAAATAAATCTTTAGCATTATGTGAGTCGGAAACATAAGAAAAAGAATGGGGGAAGCCTGCTGTTAGTGGCGTTAATCCCACTGTGGCGGTGCGGTTGTTTGGGGTTTTTTTGCATTTCACACTCTTGCTGACGGGCTTCGAAGCATAGCAGCCAGCTCAGAAATGTTCACCAGCATTATTTCACTTGTTTTTTAACATCCCTGGTTGCCTACAGGGCAGCTTGTCTCTTGCTCATATATATTAAAAAAAAAAAAAAAGCCGATGTGCATTGTTGAATGACAGAAAGGAAATGGGGCGTAAAATTAAAGAATCTTTCTACACTGGTGATAGGGAAGGGAGCATCCTACAGTCGTGATGTGAAATCTAACGAGGTCTGGCGTCGCAGTGCTGTAGAAACACTTATTTAAACTTGAATTACGGGTTTGCAGATGCTGGGGTTGTTTTTTGTTTGAGGTTTGTTGTTTGGGAGGTTTGGGGGCGGGAGGGGTTGGGGTGTTTGATTTTTTTGTTTTGTTTTGTGTACCGTACTCTTTTTTCCCCCAGAGTATTAACGTTGCATGGGAGGGCAAACAGGCGAGCCGTGGCTCCTGGAAATTCTGCAACACTCCTGTATCCCGATTTTCTGGCGCATGCGTTTCCTGCACGAGGACAAAAATTCGTATAATCTCAGCGGTGCCAACACTTTTTTTTTTTTTTCCCCTCTTCTTCTCCTTTTGGTAAAATACGTGGCGTTCTCATTTTAGGATTACGCCAGTCAGCGGGATATGAGCAGGCAGCTCGTGAACAATCCTGAAGCGGCAGCTCCCGCACCCAAGGAAGGTGCGGGTGTCGGAAGAAGCGGCCCCGAAAATGAGGCGCAGAACGCCCCCGCCAGCCTTCCCCGCTCGCTCTCCAGCCACAGCAAAACCCTTCCCTGCGAGGAAGCGAAACCCAGCGAGCTCGAGAGGACCAAAGCGGGGGTCTGCGAGGCCAGCAGCACCCCGCTGCTCAGCTCCACCCTCCGCGGGGAGCCTGTGGCCGGCTCCCCCTGCGAGCCGAGCGCCGGGCGAGCCGCGGTCCCGCACTGCAAAATCCCCGCGCTGCAGAGCGCGGACGGGGACGCTGCCCCCAGCCTCGGGAAGGGCACGCTGGAGCAGAACAACGCCTGGGTGGCCTTGGGCCACAGCACCGTGGTGCTGGGCACGGATGGCAGCACCTCTGTTCTCCCTGGCAGAGTGGAGGGGGTGAGTCGTCTCCTTACAGGTCTTCCTTCCCCCATTCAGCTTGCGGGAGGTCTTTGCCGCTCAGCATCGATTTGGGGTGGAAGCTCTAAAATCGGGTGCAGATGAGCGAGGAATGGGGCTGTGCCGAAGGGAAGAGGGGAGAGAGGATCTTAGATCCAGTGCCGCGGTGCTGGCGAGTGTTACCGGGCATCCTGCGTGATTCCAGCCGCTTCCCGAGCCGTGCCTGTCGCTGCCCCGCGGCTCTGACCCGCACATCCTCACATGCCTTGGCACGAGGTCTGCTTCTGTCCCCAGCCTCACACCCGAAGGGTGCTTTGCCCTTCCCCTCTTCAGGCTCGTCCGCCCGCCCAAACCGCCGGGGACCGCGTGCCTCGGAGCCTGTAACCAAAACCAGGGCGAAATAAATCGGCCCGACCCCTAAGAGGCCCCCGGGAGGGGATGCCGCGGGTGCTGCGAGGCCGAGGAGGTCCCTCTCCTCCTGCCCATCCGCATTTTCCCTGGAAGCGGGCGCTGCTGGCGCGGCAAACGCGATTTTCACTTCTCCTGGCTGTGCTGAGAGCCGCCCGGCGGTCCCGACCCTCCGGAGGCCACCGAGGGCTCCCAGCCCCGGGGGAGGCGGTGGGACCTCTCCAGGAGCCAGGGAGTCACCCCGAGCGCTCGGCGGAGGGCCGCGCTTTAAACCCCTCTTTCGGGAACTTTTTTTAATAAAGGAGAGGCTGGCGGGGGAGCTTGGTTGCTAAAGTGGCTGGTTTCCCATCTCTCTCTCTCCCCCCTCCCCTCCTTTTCTCCCCCTCTTTTAGGAAGACGATGTGGGGGATGAAAATAAAGCCCGAGGGAACTGGTCTAGCAAGCTGGATTTCATCCTCTCCATGGTGGGTTATGCAGTGGGGCTGGGCAATGTCTGGAGGTTCCCGTACCTGGCCTTTAAGAATGGGGGAGGTATGATGGCTTTTTCCTGTCTCTCTACCTGCAGTACCGTACGGGTCTGAGCCAGTCCCGGCCTTTCTTGGCGGGGAGAAACACGAGGGAAGCAGGGTCAGCGGCTTCCCCTTGCCGGGGAGCCAGCCCCGGGCTGAGCCGAGCTGCGGGGACATCTTCAGACCATCAGACACACTTGGTGAAACACTTGCTTGGGTGCTTGTTTGGTTTTATTCCCGGCGTTATTTTTTTTTATTTTTATTTTATTTTTATTTTTTATTGTCACCTCTGAAAGCAGGAAAACCCTGTAGAGATTTCCTTAAAAGGCAGCGCTTTCCTTAAAAACACCTGCAATTGATGCTGGAGAGGGAGGAAAATGAAGAGGCGTGTTGATCATCGCAGGGGCAGGGCTCAGGAACCTCCCTCGCCTCGGTTACACGCACTCGGCTCTGAATCCGCAATCGGTGGGATGGGGAAAGAGGAGGGACTTCAGAGTCGGGACAGCGACAAGAGGACGCTTGATCCCGAGTCCAGACATCCCGTTACTTCGTGAGGTCTGGGGGAATTGTTCTAAATCTCTCCACGATCCCACTGAAAAATAATCGTTCGAAATAGAGCGAATGTCGATCAGCTGAATAGAGGAGAGAAGTTGGAAGAGGGGCTAAGCCGTTTACAGTTTACAAGGGCAAGAAGAAATTTATTTGCAGGGGTTCTCCTACAGAGGCTCTTACTGAAACGGAGAAGCCGTGGATGTTACCGGGTTAAACCCTTGCAGCTGTAAACCCTTTCCCTCTTCGAAAGGGTTCTCAGCTGAGGGAAGCGGTGCTGTGATCATCGAAAACAGTTGTGTAAAGCCAGTCAGAGCCGCTTTCTGTGAGGCAAGAGGCAATTGTAAATAACTATTTTTTAAATTGTGATTTTTTTTTTTCTTTTCCTTTTACACGTAGAAACTTCTAAGTGGGAGGTACTAAATACTCATTTAACAATAACGAGTATTTACTGTCTGTAGAAAAAGCTGGAAATGTAGAAAGCTGACACCCATCTTCCCCCCCTACACCCCTTCCTCCTGCCCGGTCGAGGCTGGCGGCACGGGGAATCGGTCACAAACCGAAACATTTGAATAGAAAAATGTCTCGACTGAGTTGTCCCCAGTGCCAGGGGGTGATTCAGCTCGCTCTCTCTTCTCTCCCCCCGCCCCCAAGGTGCGTTCCTCATCCCCTATCTGATGATGCTGGCTCTAGCCGGGATCCCCATTTTCTTCCTGGAAGTCTCCCTGGGGCAGTTTGCCAGTCAGGGCCCCGTGTCGGTCTGGAAAGCCATCCCCGCGCTGCAAGGTGAGCGGAGCGGGCTCTGGGCAGCGCGGCCCGCACCCCGGCTCCCGCACGGCTTCAGCCGCCCCGCACCCCGCCCTGCCCGCCTCCCTGCGGCAGCGGGGCGGCTCGTCCCGTCCCCTGCCGCTGTCCCCGTCCCCTGCCACTGTCCCTGTCCCTGCCGCTGTCCCCATCCCCTGCCGCTGTCCCCGTCCCTGCCACTGTCCCCGTCCCTGCCGCTGTCCCCATCCCCTGCCGCTGTCCCCGTCCCTGTCACTGTCCCCGTCCCTGCCGCTGTCCCCGTCCCTGTCACTGTCCCCGTCCCTGCCGCTGTCCCCGTCCCCATCCCTGTTCCTGCCGTTGTCCCCGTCCCCATCCCCGTCCCCATCCCTGTCCCTGCCGCTGTCCCTGCCGCTGTCCCCATCCCCGTCCCCGTCCCTGCCGCTGTCCCCGTCCCTGTCGCTGTCCCCGTCCCCGTCCCCATCCCTGTCGCTGTCCCCGTGCCGGAGGACGCCCGGCAGCCCCCGGCCCGGCATTAATCACTGATGGCTTTCCCGCTGTCCGCTGTGTCCGCAGGCTGCGGCATCGCCATGCTGATCATCTCGGTGCTGATCGCCATTTATTACAACATCATCCTGTGCTACACGCTCTTCTACCTGTTCGCCTCCTTCGTGCCCGTGCTCCCCTGGGCCTCCTGTAACAACCCCTGGAACACGCCGGACTGTAAAGATAAAAACAAACTTCTGCTAGGTAAGCTGGGGCACGCTCGTACTCTTCTTTTAGTGATGTATTCCGTTTTGGTTTAAAATTTGCCGTGGTTTTTCCAGAGCTTTCCGCAGCTCAGCTGCGCCCCTGGGAGATGCCCGAGGAGACTGCGGATGGCCGCGGCCGGGAGATCTCCCAGCCCCGGGGAACGAGCTCTTCCCAAACCACTCGGAAGTGATCTGTATCCCATGAGCACTCCCCTCTACTTTTATTTAATTTTTTCCTTACCAAGCATAAATTAGATTTGTCAATTTAAATGCTAAAAAATACCGATTTTTAAAAAAATATATTTTTCCCCCAAAGGAAAGCTCTGTGTAGGCAACAAAATACCACAGCTGGCAGCCTGGGGTGTCTGCTAAAGATAAATGATTTGTCTTTAGAGAAGC